GCAAATATCACATTTTCCCAATTTTTCACCTCCTGTGATGACTTGCACGCTTACCCATCTATTATTAATTTTACCCGTTTTCTTTTTTCGTCCCTTGGCTGACGAGAAGGCGTAACCCTCTACCGGCCCACCGGTCCCGCCCCCCCCCCCCCGGGAAGGGAATGAAATAACGCTTATGTTGTTGTTGTTGATGTAATTTAATCATTTCATAACTGGTGCTTAACTGAAGAGTGGGTAAACAATCGAATATATAACTGAAAGACAGTGGAGTAAAGCATAGAATCTGAAATACATTGGATTTTGAGTTACAACTATATAATACAACCTTTCGCAAAAAAATAACCGGTAATATAAGTAGAAGAGTTAGAGAGCGATAAGTAAGAAAGTATCTTGAGAAAACAGTTAACGCAGCAAGAATTAAGGAATGGGTAAAAGCCGGGCGAGAAGATTACTACTCTTACGGGGTACTAGTACTAAAATAGCGCTAAAGAGCCGATGTTCATTTTATTACTCCATTTCCCCGGCAATAATATGAGAAAATATATTATAATTTGTCTTTAATGTAAAAAAAAAAAAAAACTACTTCGGGGCTAGTATATATTTGCTCATTAGGAGCAGTTATCTAACAGTAAATGCCACATTTGATATCGTCATTCAATTATTACAGTTCTTCCTCACACAACTTAGAAAGAATTATTTATAAATGGATAATAGTTTTTCTGTAATAGCATAAAACCTCACCTCAACGGTTTGTTTTTGGTGTGTTTTGAATTTCGCGCAAAGCTATACGAAGGTTATTTGCACTACTGTTCCTAATTTAGCAGTGAAAGACTAGAGGGAAGGCAGCTAGTCATCACCACCCACACAGCCAACTCATGGGGTACTATTTTACCCACGAATAGTGGGAATGACCATCACATTATAACGCGCCTACGGCTGAAAGGGCGAGTGTGTTTGGTATGAAGGGTATTCGAACCCGAGACCCGCAAATTGCGAGTCGAGCGCCCTAACCACCTGGTCATGCTAAGCCAAATATTATGTGTTTGTTTGACAGTAAAGCCACAGGGGCTATTTTCTGTGGCTACCGGGAATAACTGAAATCCGAATTTTAGCGCTGTAAGTCCATAGATTTACCATTGTCCATTGGGGACCACCTCGATGGCCAAGCATATGTTTGTCTAGACGGGAATAATACATTTCTCATGTAATTAGAATAATGACACCAAGCGAAAGGAATTGTTCGCAAATCTGTTATTGTTTATTTGTAACATAAAAAAAAAGAATTACCCTAACCAGCATATATTTACCCGAACGGGGAAGTTAATTAACAGTTGCACAGAAAGTCAAAAAGAATAAAATCGCATAGTTTTAAAAATACAATTCGAACAACGTAACTGTATGGCATTTTGTCAGTAGTTACATTTTCCTATTTGATATAGTGTTGGTGTCAAACAACAAATGTGCAACAAGGCAATAGTGCACATAGAGTTTATTTAGAAATAAGTGACAATTTACAATACTGAGGGTGCAAAACCATTTGCAATTTACGTTCTTATATCATTACAGAAAAATCTGTTATTAACTTAGATACTTAAGGTCTTTACATAGTTTATTTGTATACATATGTTAGATTTGTTGTCCCCCAGTAGGACAGCAGTAACTCTTCGGGTTTACAACGCTAAAATCAGGGGTTCGATTCCACTCTGTGGACACGGCAGATAGCCCGATGTGACTTTGCTATAACCAAAACACACACACGCCTACATTTGTTTGTTGACATACTTAGGGTAATTTCGAATGAATGTATTTCCCGAGTATGATTGTTTGGTGTTGTTCTATTTAGGTTTTGTACGTGACGTCACGAGCTGAGAAATGTCGGAGTCTCGGTCATTGTGGATGTCAAGCTACCGCGTATTTAATTCAGGCTTAATAGTGTGAGCATAACTTTACTTGTCATGATATAATGTCTTGGCTTCGTTAGGTACCATCGTTCTGATTGCTTGTTGTTTTGTTGGATGTGGCAATAGACATGGACAGGTACTGATGATGACAAAACCTTGTCGAAATGTTGTACATTTGCTGTTATGCTAAACTTATATTAAAGTTTTTCTTCATTACCCATTCAAGCCGTCTCCAGCCATTATTAAATTTGTTAGAAGCT